TTGAAAAAATTACATGGAAACAAAATTTTATCCATTTTCATTTTTCATCTCATATTCCTTTTCAAGCATTACTATCTCCATCTTAGATTTCTCATATTTCCCATGTTTCATAAAAAATTGCATAAAAAATGAAAATCTCATCTATGTTTAGTTCACATTACATTTCCCATCCCATTTTGAATTGCAGTCCATATTCAACCTTGCATCACATCTTCCATCTCACATCAAATTGACATTCATCTCATGCTCATTTTCCCTTTTGAATAAAGTTAAATTTGGTCCTCATATTTTCTTGTTTTTCAATTAAGTCCTTCAAGTTATCGTTTTCTTGAAAAAAAAAAAATTGTCCAAACTCTCTTTCAAAGAAAGTCTCACCCTCTTACACTTTCTACATGAAATTCACACTTGCATGTTTCAAACTTTTTGGCCTTACCTAATTAAATCCAAAGCATTTCACATTTTGTTAAAAAAAAAAAAAATCATTTTTTTCAAACTTCATGACATTTGCTCTTTTCACCAAAAAGGACTAAATTGAACTTCATCAAAATCTGTAGACCAAATTTACATTGCATTACAAAATTTTCATCATCCTTGCATTTTCATTAATTCATACAAAAAACAAAAAAAAACTTTGATTCAAAAATTGTTTCTTCAAGCATAAAAAAAAAAATTTCAAATTCAATTCTTTTATTACTTTAGTTCACTTTTTTTTTTTATTGCCTTCAAAATTGCTCACAAGAAGAAGTTTCTTTTATATGCTCGCAATTTTATAGTTGGTCAGTCTAAATCACAAGCAATGACAAGTCCTCAACAAAACTTGCAATGCAATGATCAAGTTCAAACCTGAAGGATTCCTAAAGTAATGATCTATGTTAATTATCTTTGTTTTTCTATCATTTGTAGTATGTGTAAATCAAAACCCATCTTTGATTTTGCCCAAAATCATGGTTGGAGTTGAAAATGGCCTTAATTTCATCAAAATTTTCTATATGTTTGACATGTTCTAAATGTTACTCTCAATTGAAAATGATGTCAAAAATTTGTCTCCTCTCCTCCTTACTTCCTCATCTTTCATGTTTTCAAAATTCCATTGCACAATTTCCTTACTCATCTCCTTATTCAAATAATTCTTTGTTGATTGATGGATTAAATCTTTTCTTTCTATGGATATGTTGGTGATATCTCAATTCAAGGTCTATGCTTTGGGCAATAATGCAAAAACAAAAAAAAAAAAGTGAGAAAAGCCACAAAGGAGTTCAAAGGTGGAAAGGTTCAATGAAGAAAGACCATGTTTCTTTTACCAAACACAAATATCATCCCTTGTTACCCACTTTGAGCCAAAATAAAAGGCAGAGATCATGAATAAAAGCCAAAATGATCATTTCTTTGATACCCACATCATGAACCTGGGGAGTGTTGAGTGCAAAGTGAAGGGTATGCTATCTTAAGCTAAGTGATTGTCATCACCATCACTCAAGAATGCTAAAAGTTCAAAATCTAAGGATAAAAGGCCATCTTTGATTACCCTAACTCCCAAACACTTAAACTTAAAGAGACTTATCTTTAGTCAACCAATTTGAGCCTAAAAATTGCCAATCTTTTCTTGGATACCCATTCTAAAACCTGGGAATTAAGTTACATGCTTGGAGCAATTTCTTCTTAAAAACAAAAAAGGGTGTGAGAGAAAAACCCATGAAAATACTAAAAAAAAAAAAAACTCAAAATAGAGTGAAAACATAAAAAAAGAAAAAAAAGAAAAAAAGAAAAATTGAGTGATGCAGAAGGAAGAAAACCCAAAAAGAGAGTTCAAAATAAGTGAAGCTCCTAGCAAAGGCATGTAACTTGGGGGCAAATTGGGAATTTGAGCTTTTAATGACCATTCTTTCAAAAACCATACCCCAAACCACGTTACAACCCAAAGCAAAAGTCCTTTTTGAAGGTTTTGAAACTTTAAATATTTTGATGATTACAATCACTAAGTCAAAGATAGCTTGGAGGGCATTTTGAGCTTAATATCCTTTCTTTCAAATTAACCAAGTCAATGACCCCATTACAAGCTAAATAAAGTCCTTATCAGAGGATCTGAAAGCTTTTGAAATTCCAATGTGGTTTGAGTGATAAAAATATATGATTGCCTTAAAAAGCTGGGGGCAAAAATTGAGAAATTTAAAGCTGAGCCATTCAAATGATTCAATGATCCGTGAGTTGAAGATATCATCTTTATATTTTATGAAAGAAATTATTATAATTTGTTGAGATAGCAAGGAAAAGATTCTTCTTCTCTGTCAAGAATTTCAAACCTTTCATCTTTTTGTCAAGAATTTCATTTCTTTCATCTTAATCATGTCATCCATTCATACCTATCAATTCCATCTCTCTTTGTTCTTATCATCGTATCCTCATAATAAAAAAAAGGGGCCTTTTGTTTTATTCATGCTACTTATAAAGAAAGTAGAGATAACTCACATGGAGTCAAAGCAACAAGAATCCCAAAGGAGTGAACTTAATTGTTGTCATGCATGATCATTTTGAGTAGTGGGCATATGATGTATTCAGAAAATCTAGCCATTGTTGGTGATATGATTGAGTCAATTATAGATGCAAGCATGCAATACAAACTTCAAATTGAGGGGCAATTGCAACCCGAGGTAAATTCTTTTTCCAATAAATCTACATCTCAAGATCATAAGGTAAAACCATCTTCAAACTCCTTCATGACATTTCCAAAAGCATTTCTATAAAAGGCAATTTTTTTAACTTATTTTCAAAAGCAATTTTTCAATTCATTTTCAAGGACAATTTTTCTTAGTCATTACATTTCTTACCAGCTAAACACCCCATTATATTTCTCTACTAACATGACATGTTACTACTTTTGTCTGCAAGCATTACTTTTCACATAACTTTTGTGCAAACATTTGGGCTAGCATATCATTCAGCCCAACACGCGGCTCATATCATTCAGCCCAACACG